GCTTTGGTATATTTAGTTTAGGTTTTATATTATGTGTGTTAGATACTCTAAGCTCAATATCATATACACACGTATTTGGTTTCTATGCATATATATAGTTATATATATATATACATACAAGTGTTTTAGATTTTGATGTTTATATATACATACACGTATTTGGTTTCTAAGCTCAAATATCGTATTCTCAGTTTATAGACTTAACAATCATCATATACATATTTTATCAAGTCTATATAATCATTGTGCAAAGTTTCAAAATATTGTTTATGTCAAAACATCAAACTTCATATATATCACTTTTTCATGTTTTGGACACACTTGCAAAATAATGAGATTTCACAATTGGAAAATGCAAATTAGAAAATTCTTTTTATAACATGTTTAAAATATCATTTGCAAATATTTCTCAAAGTTTCATCAAGTTTGGAATTGATTTGTTATGTTTAAAGGAATTTACAAATTCACATTTTCGTTCGTGCACATGTTCGTGCACATGTTCGTGCATATTTTACAAAACTGATGATTTTTCACAAATGGGAAGTGATATTTGAAAAATTCTTTCTCTGACATGTTTATCTAAATGTTTAGAAACTTTCCTCAAAATTTTACTATTTTTGAAGTTGATTTACTGTGCCTACTTGATTTTACAAAATCGTGTATCACAGCAGATTTTCAGAAACTGTATTTTTGTGTTCAAACATTTATTTCTCTCAACTGGGAAATGATTTTTCAGAAATTCTTTTTCTGACATTTTATTCTACATGTCTAGAACATTCTCACAAAATGTCATAATGTTTGGAGTTCATTTACTATTTTAAATTGATTTTACAAGACAGATGCGCACAGCTACAGTACCGCCGGTCGACCGAAATTTTCGCCGGTCGACCGACAGAGTCTCTGGACGTCTCCTGCGATTCTGACCTTGTTTCCGGTCGACCGCGATTTTTATCGGTCGACCGCTGGAGTCTCAACGGCTCTTTTTAGAGCCGTTGCAGGTGGTTTTTTGATCTTTTTGTAAGGGGTTTTGGTCTGAGCTTTTGGAGGCTATAAAAACCCTCTTTGATCTCAGTTTTCACTCTCTCTAAGAAGTTTTTAACAAGGGTTTTAAAAAGGAGTTTAAGCTTGTTTAAGGGTTTGGTTTAAAGCAGTTTTAGCTTTCTCAAGTGGAGGGGATTATCTTATTGTTTGGGCCTCAAATCTCCATCTCTCCATCTTGATCTTGAGAAGTTTTCTAAACTCAAACTCTAGCTTTATATTTATATACTTGCTTGATTATCATTGTTCTTAAGCTAGATTTTATATTTGAGTTTAGTTTGATTTTGATTTATATCTCTTTGTTCACACACAACCTATTGAGCTTATTGTATTTACATTCATAGCATAATTTAGGATTGTGGGTTTGTGACATTGAGAGTGAGCTTAATTGAGTTCTCATCTTGTTAGAGAGAACAATCATTTGTTATATTGTGCTTATTGTGAGAATCACTTTGTAATACACTTGTACACCAAGTGAGGAGTGTGTGGTGAGAGTCGGGGATCGTCCCAAGAGGAGTGGCGTCGGTTGACGTGCCTAGGGAGAGGTTGTAACCGAGCACTTGAGGGAGACACGGCTAGGTCCAACACTTAGTGGGTGTAGAGTGTGATTGCAAGAGTGTGAGTTGTAGAGTTTTCGGTTAGCTAGAAAACCGAGTGTGTAGAAGAAGTTCTGGCTTCCAAACCGGATTGTGTTAGTGGATTTCTCCCCGGGAGTGGGGAGCGGAGACGTAGGACGGAAGGTCCGAACTCCGTGATCATATTGCTTGTTTGAGTGTGCTTTGGCGTTCATTCATATTTATGTTCATATCTTATAACGCCATTGTCATTAGCTCACTATCTATATCATCCACTATCTTGTTTAGATTGTTTACCCCTTGTGTTAGTTTACATATCCTATACATATATCATATTGTATATCTCTTTGATAGGATATATCATCTTGTGTTAGCTCATATATCCTTGCATATATCTCATAGTATATATCATTGCTAGGATATTTACCTTTGTTCATATTGCTTATTCTTGCACATAACTCTTGTATATCTATCTTGCAAGAATATACTTGTTAATTAATTTTAATTGGCACTTAAATCGGATTAGATTAGCATAAGACCCTAATCACCCCCCCTCTAGGGTCTAACAATTGGTATCAGAGCTTGGTGCTCTTTGATTTAAGGTCTAATCGCCTTGAGTTAAAGATCCAAGTTATCTTTTTGTGCTAATCTTATTTTGAGCTTTATTTGTATCTTGCTTGCCTTTTATATTATGGATATGCATGGTTTAGGTTATGCCATCAATATTGCTCCTAGATTAGATAATTTCCCCTATGCCCAATGGTGTGTTAGATTTAATCACGTAGGATGGTACGATGATATATGTGTAGATTAGGTAGTTATGAAAAATCGGCAATTAGAGAGATTGAATACTCACTCGGTTGATATCTCCTAACTTGGCATGTACCTCAATCGAATGAATTATCTCTAATTAGGGCAGACCACCAAAAGGAATGAGCCAGATTGAGATAAGGTATGATAACCGACTTGTTGAGACAGGGTATCAAAGACGTATATCTATATTTTGGGCTTTTAGGTTAGGCCCAGGGACAGTGACCGAGCTATAGGTTGAGTGCGGATGTCCCACTGTAGTGACTTAAAGTGCTTTCTGGTTGATCAAGTCAACATTCTACCATGAAGTGGTCTGGCTAACCTAAATGTCAAATCTGGGTTGTATGCACAACACGATGGAATTCTTTACTTTTTTCAGTATGAAACAATGGGTATTGTAACTAAATCATAAAACAGAGAGATGCATGGAGAGGGAAATGTTAAGATCGTAAGGATAATGAGTCTAGAAGTTTAACGATGTATTTCCTTTTTCCACAATGTGAATAGAATGTGAATCAATTTCCTAAGTTTAAATTGAAATATGCATAATAACTAATTATAAACAGGATCTTCGTGAGTTATATACTATATTTCTCTTAAAAGATTGACATCTAAGATATATTTTTCTATGGAAAATCTAAAATATTCTTTTCTCCAGTTATTAGCTATTTTCTTTAATATGTTGTTAGCATCATTTCTTTGTCAACTCTTAATCCATTTTGAACAATAAGGGGTATTGAATTTTGGATCAACCAATAAAAAATAAATATGAGCAAAATAAAGTCCTTTACTTTTAGGATAAAACCCATAAAGTATTTGAGCAACATGCCCTAAATTATTACATTCATGAATTGACCCTCACTTATTAAAAGTTATTAACTGCAGTTCACTAATTTAAGTTGATGAATTGGGAGGAACATCTTGTTTTCCCCATAGGCCATAGATGTGATGTTTGTTATACTTTTTTAAGATTTATTATACCCATCTTTCTACATGCCAAAGGAGGAAAATATTCTTTACACTTTATACGGTTGTATGCCACAAAAGAAAATGTAGGATGACAAGTGTTGAATTTCTAGGTCCTCCATAATTTTTCTATGGTAACTATGACTCCCTTCATGCGAAGTTATGAACCTATGAGCTCTAGAACGGCTGATTGTCTCTTTTTGACCGTTTTAGTTACGACCACGGGATGTAACTAGAAGCTTGGCTGCCACCGACAACCAACTAAAACTTTCAATTGTACATGCGATTCGGTTATATGATTTCCCGTATTCCTTCCGATTATAAGACAGTATCATATACCCTCAACTTTGTTCTTACTATAAAATATACTTGTCATTTTTCCGTGCCTTTAGCGGCAAATTCGGCTCCAAAAAGATTTGGTGCCGTGACACACGCAATTAAGTACTAATTGACATCCGTAAACACTTGTATGCATACTAATCAAAAGAATTTGAACAGCTCGATATTGTACGCGGTGCTCCTTCTCCCTCTTTGACTTATACAACGAGGCCGGCAAACCCAAACCCATCCCCAATCAGCAATCCTCGATAAATCTCCCCCAATTTTAGTCTCACATCGGCTATCTCACCAAATGATCACCAAAATCCCTGTCCGCCGCTAGCGGCCGGCTGTTGCGGTCTGCCTGCTCCCCTGCCCCGGGCCGTCTTCTTCCTTAAATCCGCTCTTTTTTCTCTTCAGTCGGCCTGTGGCGTCTCCTCGGCGGACAAGCCTCAGGCTTATCAAAATCTACAAAATCCCCCAACACGGCTGAACCGATCAGCTCAATCCTTCTAGCGCAGGCTGGCTGCCTACGTCGCAGCTTTCTCGCCTCCGTCGAGACTCGGATGAGCTTTCGTATATTGCACAGTAGAAAGGCTGCCAACGATTTTCACTTTCCCAGGGCCTAGCCACAGTCAGCCCGTTGGCGATTTATTCGCACGGCGCTGAAATTCAGTGGACCCCCACGCTGGCTGCCGTCCATCTCGCGTCCGCCGCCAGGACCGCCACCGCGTGCTCCGCACCCTAGCCTCCAGCCGTTCGAGTCCGCGTGCCACGAGATCGAGGTGCGGAGGCAAGGAGGTGGAAGCTCTTACACGAGACGCACATCGCTGCGAATTGCTGGAGGCTCGGTTCGATTCACGCATCCGTCAACCGCTCGACACTGGTTTGCATGGACCCGGGAGCTAAGAATAAGCCAAGGTCAAGTCTGACCTCGAATCGTCTTCGCGAAGGGGCCGGCAAGTTACTACGCCCAGGCTGGGCCCGGGTATGGACAGCGGAGTTACCTCCTCTATGGCCGCCGGGCCAAAAAACTGGGAAAGTCCACTTTCGTAGCCCGCCATGGTAAATTCCTCTCCTTACGACATCTACGGACCCGTCCATCTCGCGTCCGCCGCCAGGACCGCCACCGCGTGCTCCGCACCCTAGCCTCCAGCCGTTCGAGTCCGCGTGCCACGAGATCGAGGTGCGGAGGCAAGGAGGTGGAAGCTCTTACACGAGACGCACATCGCTGCGAATTGCTGGAGGCTCGGTTCGATTCACGCATCCGTCAACCGCTCGACACTGGTTTGCATGGACCCGGGAGCTAAGAATAAGCCAAGGTCAAGTCTGACCTCGAATCGTCTTCGCGAAGGGGCCGGCAAGTTACTACGCCCAGGCTGGGCCCGGGTATGGACAGCGGAGTTACCTCCTCTATGGCCGCCGGGCACTGGAAAGTCCACTTTCGTAGCCGCCATGGCTAAATTCCTCTCCTACGACATCTACGACCTCGACCTCTCCAAAATTTCGGAGAAAACCGATCTCAAGTCTCTCCTCCTTCAAACAAGCCCAAAATCATTGATTTTGGTGGAAGACCTGGATCGTTACTTGAGCAAGGAAAACAAGGAGGAAGTGAGTTCCATGATGAATTTCATGGATGGAGTATTCTCCTGCTGTGGCGAGGAGACGGTGATGGTGTTCACGATGAGCGGACCTAAGGAGGCGATCGACCAAGCATTGCTACGTCCAGGGAGGCTTGACGTTCACATACACTTCCCCCTTTGCGATTTCTCGGCGTTCAAGAGTCTCGCGAGCAGCTATTTGGGACTGAAAGATCACAAGCTGTATCCGCAGGTGGAGGAGGAATTTCAGTTCGGAGCGAAATTGAGCCCTGCGGAGGTCGGGGAGATTATGATAGCAAACAGGGGATCGCCAAGCAGAGCGCTGAAGACGGTGATTAGCGCGTTGCAGGAGTCTAATGGAGGAGGAGGAGGAGGGAGGAGGGCGATGAGTGAGAGCGGGTCGGTGAATGGGCGGCGGGCAGAGGAATTAGGAGAAGGGTGTGGAGTCGGAGGGGGATTGGGGTTTGGAAAAGATGTTACTGTTAGAGAATTCAAGAAACTGTATGGATTGATTAGGAGAAGTGGGAGCAAGAGACGAAGGGGACTATGTCGAGTTGAAATGGCCGCAAGCCCTGGGCGGTGGCTGCTGCGGCCGCTGGCAGGACACAGCCAGGTTTGAGAAGGGTGGATGACGGTTCTTGGTAGCCCTAATCACATTTCTTAATTAGAGTTATTAATTGGATTGAAATTATTATTAGGTTGTCTTTTTCCCCCCGGGGGCGGAGGGCATTATTAGCAAAGGAATGTTAATGTGTAAAAATTTGATAAGACGGATTATCTTTTGTAACGAATTAGTTTTTAGTTTCATACTGCCTTCTCACAAATGTTTCATTTATTACTTGAAATGAACAAATGTGATTTTACTTGTTTAGGTAATTTTCTCAAATCTTTTCCCTGTAACACATGATTCTGCTTTACTCGAGTACTGAGTTCTGAAGTTGAAATAATTGTGCGGCATCAACCGAACTTCTTAGGGGCTGTTTGTTTTGAGTATTTTGCCTCGGGGAGGGGGTGGAAAGCTGCCATTAATGTTTTCTTTTGCTCAACTACTTTATGGTCTCGGTTGTTTGGGGTGCATTGATGAGAAGTGAAGTCATGAAAGTGTTTCTTTTTTAAACACGAGGTTTCCCTCGATAGGGTTGCAACTAAACATTTACGAACTTAGATAATGACGTGAATCCAAAAAGAAAGGGCGGAGGTGTCTTTTTTTTGGGGGGGAGGGTTGGGGTGACGAAAAAAAGAAAGAAATCCAGTCTGTATGAGGTCGATGTGTCAAGTAAATTCTGAGCTCTGCTTCGGTTCTTCTAAGAAATATAATTGATTGTGGAAAGCTGTAAGTAATTTCTTAATGGAAAAAAATAATGCTAATGTAAAATTCTCTTAATGAACCTACATGAAAACCACATTCCGTATTGCCAACATTGTTTACGGTTCCTTCAATTATGTCAATGCTCCTGAATAATGGTACAAAAATTAAGGTTTAGATTTTTATATTTTGAACATATCATCACAGTTGGAAGGTCGGAGAGAAAAATCACAAGCAAACTTGATGTTAATGGAGTCTTAAATAATAGGGTTTGAGAACAAATTTCATCCAAAAGCGTGAAACTATTAGGCAAGGACGCCAGTTTTCTATTTATTCTCTTTACTGTTTTCTAATTCTTTAGATCTGGAAGTATACCCATTAATAAAATTTCTAACATTTTTACCCCTTGGCTTGTGAGTATTAACTCAATTATCGAAAGTAACCATGTGCCTTCTATTGATTTGTTAAAAATCAATAACCATAGAGTGTGAACATGACTACTAATATTGATAGGATCTTCTAGTACATGTAGGCTGACCAAGCCTTGGTCTCTCTTGCAACTTTTCTTGTACACCATCTTTATTGGTGGCTTAACTTGATTTTGGTCTAAACCAACAATCATTGGTAAGGCAACATGACTTTCAACATTCTATTATTTTTCTTCTCTCGAAAAGCAACCATGGCTTGAGACATAGTCATTATTCGTAGGATATTTCTTCTATAACTCAGCAATTGATGACCAAATTGCTGGAATAGTAATAACAATTTGCCCTTGAACATCCAATACAAATTATGTAATAATATTGTAATGTTAATAAATTTAATTGTTGCACATAATTTGTGTATTATTTATATAATTGTTATATATATCCTTAGAAGTTATTTTGTTAGATCATGCACTGTGATGGTCACTTGCTTGGAGATATGATCTAACTTAGAAATTTCTTAAATTTGTGCTTAACCTATAACTAGTAAAGGATAACTTTGTTATAACAGGTTATTATGCATGACACCGATATATGAGATATGGTGGTGAGTCTCAACCATCGGGAATAGAGATTCTCCGGGTGTATGTCATAAGCACGCATTATGATGTGTGTAGCACTAGACCGTATTTGAATTCTCTAGGATGAGTCACCTAAAAGATAGAGAATTCAAATTGTTACATGGTCCTTTTGACTTGATGATATTGTTATTTTCGATTTGATAATTTAGTATGCTTTGATGTGATGGTTAAGCTTGTTTAGCAAGCGCTACACAACCTGAAACATTGGGTTGCTAAATTTCATTTAGGAAAATAATGGATGTCTAGATAGGATCCAATATGCTCATTATGATGAGTTAATTTATTATGCATTCCCATGAAGCTATTAAATTCCTGCCGACAAGTGGTTTTAAAAATATTTTTAAAAATTTACTTTCTTATAAAAATAAAATTTTTTGACGTTTCAAAATGATTTTGATTTATGTTCATGGGAATTGCAAATTTAGGCATGAGCAAATAGGTGAGTTGTCCTGCTTAAAAGAGTTGCCTAAAATAAATGATACTGGAAGGGAGTGAATGTAAGATATTATTTATTAATAATTAAACTCATATTATGGAAGAGATTTTATGAACAATTGGTCGGATAGGGATTTGATTGTTAAATTAAAATTATTAATTTGATTAATAATTGGTTCTCGATATGGGACCTAATTGGTCTCACTAATGTCATTAGAAGAGGTATACATGCAATGCAATTCTATTTCTATCCTTAATTATTATAGATAAAGTTTTTAAATAAATCTATTTCTATCCTTAATTGTTATGGATAAAGTTTTTGAACAAATCTATTCTATCCTTAATTGTTATGGATAGAGTTCTAGATAATTATGAATTGTTTAAAGTTAAATTCTCTAAGACTAGTATAATCCTATAAATAGGGTTCATATGTAGCCTTATGTGAAGAGATAGATGAGATTGAAAAATCTTATGAAGATAATATAAAAAAATAGATTTTTGAGAACCTATCTCTCAGTATTGCTCCTCTACGGTGACGGGTGGATTTCAATTGGAGGCTTTTTCCCTTGAGGAAGCTATTTTGGATTGATCTCGGGATAGATTATTGTAGAAATTCGGAAAGCGTTTCAGGTATTCTTCTAATATTTAATTAATTTTGATTAATAGTCATGATATGCTTTTTCCGCTGCGTTGTATGTCATGATTCTAACACAAATTCACCCTTAAAATTAAACTCGCTATGGCACAATGTAAGAAAGAGAGAATAAGAAGAATGATTAATTTAGTTACCCATTTACTAATTGGAAGAAGCAAAGTAGTTAGCCTGTTAGTTAAGATTTGTTTAAATCCTCATACTTTTCTTATGTGTCTGGGAATAAAAGAATTATGAATATTCTTTACTAGTATAAATAACCCGCTAAAAGAAGCGGATTAGTAAACCCCTAGTTTAAAGAATTAACTCATTTTAATCCCTACAAAAGGCTTGTCTTAACCCTCTTTGTAAATTTTACATATGAATTTTTTTTGATAATTTAGGGTTTGCTTCTCCTTTCTATTTTTCCCAACGTTTTATTTGAGTCTACTACTCTTTTGTGTTTCTTTCAATCTGACAACAAACTCACTTATAAAATTCTCAATGGTCATGTTTCTAGCGTTCAAATTTTGACTGACACAACAGTATTAAAACCACTTTGAATATGTATATGGTGGAGTTTAAAATTGGATTGCTCTACTATCATATTGTTGAAGTCCATTTTTGCGCCTGAGGGCCCGTTTGGATAATGGACGTATTGGAAGTGTGAAAACGGCGAAGGAATTGTGAAAAACGTGAAGAATAACCCAAAACAGACTCCACCACACCCTGGTGTGGTGTCTGCCATGGGTGTGGTAGAATCTGTCCTGCACCACACCCTCTGCCACACCCATGGTGCAGGGTGTGGCAGACTCGTTTTTAGAATCCTCATTTATTTAAGAATCCTCCTTTGTTTGGGATTGTGTTTTATTATAAATAGGACCACGTTTTTTAGGGTTTCTTAAGGAGAGAAAAGAAGAGATTTAGCATTGTTTTGAGCACTTTGAGAGGGAGATATTGTGAGGGAGTTGAGAGCTTTGGTTAGGGTTATATTTGAGTGATTTTGTGAGTTGTAACCCGTTGTATTTCTCCTCCATATAGTGAAATCTCCCCATCCTCTCCCCGTGGACGTAGGCAATTGCCGAACCACGTATATCCTTGTGTTTGGTTTGATTTGTCGTAATTGGCTTGGTTTGTGCAAGTGTGTGGCTTTCTTCTTCCGTGATCTCAAGTTTGTTGTGTGTGCGTGCAACGCTTCCGCATAGGCGCGCGACAAGTGGTATCAGAGCTCAGATTTCAGATCTGGGGTTTTGGATTAGGTGGAGGAAGATTCAGTTGGAAGCTTGGTTCTTGGAGTTCTAGGCTTTGGTGGAGTTAGGGTTTGAAGTTGCCGTTGAAGATCTCGTTTTCCTCATGTGGTTAGGAGTTCTATTTGGAATCTAATCTAGGGTTCAGTTGGGTAATTTCTTATTCTTTTTAAAGTTTGGATCTTTCTCTATAATTTGGAATTTGTGATTATGGGTGAAGAAGTTGGTGAAAGCAGCAAGATGACAGGCACAGTTCAAGTGGGTTTTCAGAACACTAAGATTAGTGTAGTGAAATATGACGGCAAGATCAATTTTGGTTTATGGATGAGCGACGAAATCTGGAGGAGACCATCATGGTCGATGTGAGGCCACCTAAATATGAAGAGGCGATATGGGAAAAGATGAATCGAAATGCTTGCGGGGTGATCAGGTCCTGTTTGGAACAGGAGCTGAAATACGATGTGATTGGGGTGACGTCTGCGATGAAGATGTGGGAAATTCTCAACAATAAGTACCTTACGAAGAGTGTTGAGAACCGGTTGCACTTGCTGCGAAGGTTATTCAGATTCCAGATGTCCAGAGGTACCTCGCTTGCGGCTCATGTGAACAACTACACTAAGTTGTTGTCGGACTTGGCGAACGTGGATGAGAAGATCACAGATTAGTACAAGGCTATTATTCTTTTGGGCTCCTTACCGGATGAGGAGTATGATACCTTCGTGCTTACGTTGCTGAACGGGAGATCTTCTATCACTTATAGTGAAGTGACTAAAGCATTGACGAACTATGATTTGAGGAGGAAGGATAAGGAGACTTCCCGCGCTAGTACTTCAGGAGAGGCCTTGTCGACGAGAGGTATAAGCTCATATCAGAAATGTGGAAATAGAGGGAGGTCAAAGTCAAGAGGTCGTCACCAGCTTGGAAAGAACCAATGTGCATTCTGCAAAGAGCAAGGACATTAGAAGAGAGACTGCCCGAAAGTCAAAGAAAAGGAGAATAGCAAGAATAAGGGCCCGAAGGCCAATGAGGTGAATGTTGCAAAAGGCGATGATTTCGATGATTCGAGCTTTTCTCTTTTGATTACTCCGGAGCAGTTGGAGCTCTGGAGGCGAAGGGATTCAGGGTGACCTTTGAGGATGCTGTAGCGAAGGTTACTAAGGAATCTTTGGTGGTGATGAAGGGAGTCCGCGGTCATAATTTATACTATCTGAAGGGGAGCACCGAGATTGGTCAGGTTGCTTCGG